AGAGAAAGAAGAAAAAAAAAATCTAGCCTTTGTATCTACTGATTATGCCAAATACTAGGACAAAATGTAGAGCAGGATTTTCAGTGAATTATAAAGAATCATTAGAAGTTTTGCTTTTAAAGACTGGTGGCACTCCCATCATCTTATTTTACTTTAGAAACCTGCAGAACCATGAAACAAGCTAATGAAGGCCAGCAAGCGCCTCCTTTTCTGTTCTGTGTTTATGAAGGGGAAGAAATAAAAGGAGGAGGGGGACACGGACCAGCAGCAAATGAAGACTTGGCAGAGCTACGGCTTTGCTGTCTGCAGTGGCTCTGGATCAGTCCCATGTGCTGTTGCGGGAGGGGACTCCTCGGGTATCTTCAGCGTGGGCATGATTGTAAATGCCAAGAAATCATCACCTTCTACAAACTGCCAAGTGAACCTGCTATTGCTTATGTTGGATGAACCTTAGAAAGCTCCTTAAAGTCTTCTCGTAATATTTCTGTATTGAACTAGCAATGAAGATGAGACATAAACCCATCGGGAAATTCTGCGTCAGTCTGCTCTCCCCTCCTCAGCCCGCTCAGCGCACCCATCCAAGGCCAGCGCAGACACGGCCGAGCACAACGCCGTACTTACCCCAGCTGGTTCACATGGTTTTGGAAGTGAAAGATTATTTGTTTTTTTTTTTTCTTTCGGGCTGAAAGAGGATCACGCTGTTCTCTGCTGTTAAAAAAACCCCACGCTTCGAGGCCGTGTTTATACCGAAACACCCAAATGGGTAAGCTTTTCCGCTGCGCTTCTTGCCGAGGGGATGGAATATGACTGCGAGCCGCCAACACCCAAACTTTTCCACCGAGAAAAAAAGTTTTTCTCCCTTCTTTTGACCATCGCATCGCCACCCGCCCTTTTCCTTGAGGAAAAGGAGCTTGGGGGGAAAGTTTTAAGACAGAGGGCAGGGGGATGGGATCCCCCTGCAAAACCCCTTACCTTGCAGGGGAAGAGCACAGCCGAGGCCACCTTCTCCATGGCCAGGTTCCTGATGCTGGGGGTGAGGGAGCCCCGGCAGGTGGGGCAGAGGCTCAGCTTCTGCCTGCATTGATTGCAGACCAGGTGCCCGGCCTGACACTGCAGGATGGGCGGCAGCACATAGTCGAAGCAAACGGGGCACTCGAAGAGCGAGGTCAATTCGTGATGTTGCTGCTGCTGCTGCTGCGGCGGGGGAGGAGGCGGCGGAGGGGGGGGAGGCGGCGGAGGAGAGGCCCCGCCGGGACCCGGGAGGACGACGGCGGGCGACGGGGCGGGTTGCTGCTTGCCGCAGGGCTTGCTA